CCCCTCCCTCTCCTCCTCCCTTCTCCCCGGCGCGTACGACTGGGGCTGAATTTGATAGGTTTATGTTGTATTTATGCTTGAAAATTTCAGCCTCCCAGCTCTGCTAGTTCTTGAGTTAGCCATTTTCCCGCCGAAAAAATCTCACGGGGCCGTACGCGGTAACCACGCACACCTGGAGGCTGAATTTGATAATTTTAAGTAGTACGTGGGCTGAAAACATTCCCTGAAAATTTCAGCTTCCCAGCTTTGCTAGCTCCCGAGTTGGCCATTTTCCCGCCGAAAAATCTCACGGGGCCGTACGCGGGAACCATGCGCACCTAGGGGCTGAATTTAAAATCTTTGAGTTATATTTGGACGGGGAACATAATCTCAAAATTTCAGCTTTCTATCTTTTATCGTTCCTGGGTTATCAATTTTCCCGCCATAACTTTCTCTCTCTCTCGTACCGGGGACCCAGACGTGCGTGAAGGGTGGTACCGCAGTTCTGGGTGGTAGTTAGCCGGAATACCCATTAGCAAAATCTCGGCGCTGGAACTTGCTTGGTTGCCGAGTTGAAATACCCGGACAAACGAACACACACACACACAAACATACACGCACACACACGCACACACTCACACACACACGCACACACACATACATACATACAGACACAGACGGGGTCGTCTCAATAAGCGTTTTTGCAATTTGCATGTAGGCAAAAACGCATAACAATCTTTATTTTATTCCTCGCTTACAAACACCATGCAGTTTGATGTAACTCTGCAATCCAAAGCAACTAGATTTCTGAAACTTTCCGACCTTGGCCCAAGACTGAGTTTAGGCAGGGGCACTTAAAGGAACGTTTACGTTTCTCCTTCAGGTACGACTACGTGAAATTTCGTTACCAAAGCAGCAGGGTGCTGAAATTTTCTGAGCATGGCTCAAAGTCGTATTTATTGGAAATCATTGTGATGAATGTGCGCATGGTTGCAGTCGGTGGGGCAAGTGATTCGCAAACTAAATTTCATTTTCAGCTCCAGAAGTATAAGATCTCGAAGCTGAAATTTCTGGAGAAAATCCCTTGCCATATGCAAAAAAGAAATTGACTTGCACTTGCTCTGTGTCTTGACTTTTAAAAACGATTTGGCTGATTACCGTTGATGCTAAAATAACACTTTGATAATCCAGCTTGGTAAATAACATCTCGAGCGAGGTCATAGAAGATTTAGCAGTATGAAATCTTTTCGCCTTTCATTCCTCTCAGTGGGGTTGTGGACTGAAACGAATGTAAAGATAATATTTGCGAAGACAAATCATTGTATGGAGAGCACTTCTTGCCATGTTAAATTTATAAAATAGCTAACTTCAACAACTAATTTAAATCTGTTACTACTTTTGCATTTCAAATTATCCTTTCTATTGCACATTTTATGCGTTTTTGTAATTGTCTTCAACTGCTGTTGTATTATGAATCATTTTTCCATAGAATATTCAGCTAGGTGAAAAAATATTAATTTACTGCCAATTTTTAGGGAGGCGGCGGGGGGAGGGGGAATCTTCTTAGGGTTTCCAAAAGGAGGAGTGAATGCGATTTGCCATCGAAATCAGCCAATGAACCATAATGTCACGGAAAAGTGGAAATTGGGAGACTACACCAACATCAGTTTTTAAGGGAGTTTATAAAATTAAAAAAAAAAAAAAACTTGACTTCCAACGTTTACTTTTGGCTGCATACAGGAAAACATGTACAGCGTGTATAGTGCTGCTAAAGTAGTATCTTCCACAATGCAAGTCACATCTCGATCGTTCTGCTTTTCAATCTTTTTTTTCGAACTTTCTTTGAGTTGTTTTGCATTCATAATACAGCAATATTTTGCGCTACTTTGTACCTGCTTTTTTTCTTAGAAACCACATTTCTGCTATCGTCATGAAGCTATTTGTTGCAGTGTGAATGTCTGCTTGCTGCAGCTTCAGGACTGCAAAAGCTGGGATTCGTGAGATCGCTCCCTTTTCTAGAGTCAGAACACAGAACCAATTTTCACTTCCGCTTGCGTTCTTGTGCAACTAACGTCAAGACTACGGTCTTACGAGTTGACGTTGCATACCAACATAATTGTATCAAACAGGGTGCTATTTCAACTTTACTGCAATAAGGCTGCATACTGTTTCAGAACAGATAGGCCAAGTTGTGACAAAGTAGAAAGACATATATGTTTAGGAGCATTCACCCAAAGAAATACGAAGCCCCGCACAGAAATGAGACATATGAACAAACTCTAACACTTAGAGAAATAATCATGAGAATGTATGATATCAGCTGCATTTATAAGCTGTGTGGTTTTCAGAATATTAGCAGAAATCGAAAGGATGCCTAAAACTAGGGAACAAGCGTACATAAAGGACAACTTCGAATTGGCAAAAGCCCTCTCGCAGAGGGGCGCGGATTGACTGGCTGGTAGAAGGTGAGCTGAAGAATTACACAAGCAACTGGAAGAATGTGAATTCTTTACATTTCCTTCTGACGAAACAAAGATAAAAAGCCAAAAAAAAAAACAAAAACAAAAAAACTCACACAAACACTACAACTGCGCTGACCAATAAGCGATACAATCTCGGTTTCAACAATTTTGAAGTTTTGCTAGCTGCATCAATAGCGCCAACGTGTACAATGATGAAACGACAACAAATCAAAACTCAGGTTAGAACGCATCAGGCTTGCCGTGCGATCATGAGTTTTTGTAACAGACTTGAAATACTCAGTTCACTAACTGCATGAATGGTTATTACTTTACACCTACCTTTGCGCTCATTAGCGTAAACCACCATAAATTTTGCATAAAATAAATGAACGACTTCCACTTGACGGTCTTTGTTTGAAAGTAACCGTGAGTAATTTTATTCAGTGAGCAATTTTCCCTCCAAAACTTTTAGGTGCCCATACGTGAGAATCATGCATACCTGAAGGCCTAATTTGAAATGTTTCAGTTGTATTTGGACAGAGAACATTCCCCTAAATTTCAGCCTTCCAGCTTTTTTGCTTACCGAGTTAGCAGTTTTCTCGCAGAAACTTTCGTACGCCGTTACGTGAGTACCACGCATATCTGAACGCTGAATTTGAAACATTTAAATTGTGTTTGGACGGAGGAATTCCCCCAAAATTTCAGCTTTCTAGCTTTCCTGGTTCCCCAGTTATCAATTTTCCCGTCAAAACTTTCATACGCCCTTACGTGAGTACCATGCATACCTGCGACTGAATTTGAAATCTTTAGCTAATACATGTACAGGAGATATCTCTGCAAACTTTCATCCCTTACCTTGCCTGGTTCCCGAAATCGCTTCTCCGCCAAAAAATTTGCATATTTTTTCAAAGCGTCCGTACGCGACACTCAGGCGTCCGCGGCGGATGATATTAAAACGCGAGGATTGCGCACGGTATGGGCACATACTCCCAAAACTCCAGCCTTCTAGCTTTTCTGGTTCTCGAGTTGAAAGTGGGTGACAAAAAGTGCTAACACAAAAACACACACACATACAACCTCTTGCCAATATGAGTTTTTGCAATTTGCAAATATGCAAAAAGGCATAAAGTCTTTGTACATTCGACGAAAAACAAAATAAAAGAATGACAATGCAAGAACAAGAGAGAACAAGAACAAAAGAAACACAACTGCAAGCAAAAGAAACTTCGACCAACTAACCGAAGATGTGGGAATCTACATCCGTTATAAATTATGACAAACCGCTATTATTTACTAGTCACAATCAGCTGCTCCAGGAAACCTAATCTGTAGAGCCAGTGATATGCAACAAGTTCAGCAGCTGTCCACACAAATGAATCAAAGGTGGATCTGAAAGGCCTCCTAACTGTCTGATCCCCCACAGTGAACAGATTATAAGGAATTCCAGCGTACCATGGTTTTTATCACTCGTAGCGGGCCTAACTCATAAACCTAATGGTCAATTTCAGATTGGGCAGTGGGTCTCAAGTAGACTGTAAGAGAAGTTTAGAGAACTTATGATTTCAGATCCAAATTCATGGATGGGTTGTCACTTAAATTTGGTAAATGCATGAAAGGGAGTGGTGTCCTGTGCCCGGACACTCATCTGAAACATTCTGCACGTAGCCGGTAAAGAGGTACAAAACCATACAGCCAACAACTTATCGCATTGTCCTCTGTAGCATAGCGCTATATTCCGGATGAACAGTGACTATCAGAAACAGTATACTCGTGCCCAAAATTGCTGCCCGTTCTTGCTCGCTTGTTGCTTCGCCACTAAACTTATAGTGTATTAGTAACAGATTTGGGACGGCTTCTGCGAATAAACAGAAGGTGATGTCAGTACATCAGCATGGCTATTTTATCGCATTACTGCCTTTAAACAGTATTTTTAAATAAACAAAATACCAATCCAGTTGACTGCTCTGAGTTATAATGTTAGCATGGATCTGGGGAGTAGGTCACACGTCAGAACTCAGTGAAGTTTGTAACTCATTTCTTTTTGTAAATTAAGGCCTCAAATCCCAATGTGCATCCTGTCTAAAATTACGGAGTCAGTTTTAACTACGACTTGAAATAATAGGCACAGACATCATGAAACTCGGAAGGTAATTAACCACTCGGTAAATAAGTTCTCAAATATCAAGTTCGAAAATATCAAGCGATCATTCACTTGATATTTTCGTTCATAAAAACAGCCGAATTTGAAGGTCACTTCAGTGACCACTTCTCTTCACGACTGGAAACTACTTCCAAAATCTCAGTTTTATGATGTGGTTTTTGAATCGAGTTATATAGATGGGCAGCTGCCGATATTAGATCATACTGGGCTTTTGTTATTTAATAAAGACATACTACTCATACTGGTAAAATATGAGGCGAGACATTATAGTGAGCTGCGAGGATTGTGGGTTGGACCATAAGCTGAGAGTGAAACAGACTGAACAGGATCCTGTAAGTTTGGGCTGATAGTGGAGAAAGTTCAAAAATTCGTCTCCATTGGTTAACGAATGCATATTTGAAGGTCCTAAACCGCTAAATTAGAGATCCGGTGAAAACCTGGAGTTTACAAATTACTTGTCTTCATCTTTTTGCGATCACTGCCTTTTTCCTAAGCTATTTCAGCACACAAATAACACTGCCTTTCAAACTAAAACTGATGTTCCCAGATGACAAATGTGTAAAAACTTTTTATCAACGTGAAGTGAGTTAAAAGTTTGTTTTACGAAACCGTTTCACGAGTATTTATCAAACCCCTCCTTTTCATGTGTTTTAGTATAAGCCAAAAAAACGTGCAGTAGTATGGTTTGATGCGGCTATATGAGCACAAACGCGCGCGTTTGTCCGCCCGTTTCGTTTAATGCAACTCCGGATACGAAGACCAGAAGACTGAAATTCTAGAACTGCACGCAGCCAGGAAAGTAAAATCAACTTCCTAAGGCCCACGCCACAGCGAGTTTCGCAGGTACGATTTTGCTTCCTCCTCCGTAAAACAAGCCAAAACTGCACTATGCACCACTGCGTACCATATACTTTACAATGATTGGTTTCTAATATACAAGAACTAACTGTCCACATTCGATCCGTAAGGAGGTAAAGAATTATGGCCGGATTCCGATGGTTTTACCAATCATCCAGCAGCTGCTCTTAGACTGTCAGTACCACTGCCTTTTCGGGATTTTTCAGTAGCAAACAAGCAAAAAAGCATTCGAAAACAAACATGTTGCAGTGCCGATTTGCGGACGACTAGTTTTGGACCGTGGAATGCTTAACTGGACGGTGAGATGACCTTGCGCTGCTACCGTGCTTTTCTCCGGCCATAAATACAGAGCACACATTTTGAAACTGACTGCGGGCGTAGGGAAGAAACAGGAAAATAATTCAACTGTCAGTACATGACAATAATTCAATTATGGGCAGTGAAAGCTTGCTACGTACATAATCCCAAATAATATGCGCATGTGAAATGTGGCGTCATGCATGATCGCAGAATGAAACACGGTTATATCGCAGTCCACGCTCTTTAGCAACATTACAGTATATATGGGATTATTATCTTTTCTCTATATATATACATATATATATATATATATATATATATATAGAGAGAGAGAGAGAGAGACAAAAGATAATAATCCCAGAATTTATATATATGTATATGTTTCTATTCGGAAAATGCTCTCTCATGGCTTACTACTACACTTATTAAGTGGCATATCAAACAGAAATACAAAAAACACAAGGGCAGATTAATAAAGCCCAATGACCAAGTTGACACGTCTGACCAAAACCACACCCTTAGACCGCATTAGTGAAAACTGTGTCTATTCCTGGATCAACTCCTTTGATTTTATTCATAGGCTTGTCTTTCAGTCTGCATTTCACAGCTGACTCCGATAAATCTTATTTTGTTGGATTTCGCTACAGCCGCATTAAACACTCTTTCAGTCCGACTAAAATCGTATTCTCTGTCCAAATATCACCAGTTTACTTTTATTTTCTTCAATCCGCCCATCACTTCAAAACCTACTCTTTGTTTCTCCGTGCAAATTGAAACTACTTAGCTTACTGCGGTATAATTACTGACAAATTTCATTACGCAGCTTTAATAATTTTTCATTAATAATTTTCTGAATAATAACCTGTAGTTTATGATGACGGATTCAGCGGCTGAGCAATATGATGGCCTAAGGCAACCAATTTTCTCATTATTCAGCTTGAAAAATTCTAGTGCATGGCCACTGTTTATGCAGTAGAAATATCGCAGTATACCACTAAGCGGACCGAGAATCTAAAATCTGTTTTTGTGTAACAACGATTAGCAAAAAGATTCACACATATCTGGCCAACGCTGCAAGCACTCGCCCACAATTACCAGCGTTGCCCATTTACTCTCCCCTTCAAACGGTATTCTACGCATAATCGGCCTTTATTGTTGATGCATCTCCACAGTATCAAATCTTACAACGTGCTTTAAAGTTGAATTTGAAACATTTAAGACGCATGCTGGTAAAGAATACCCTTGTAAAGTTTCAGCTTCCTAGCTCGAGTGGCTAGCGAAATCGCCTTTGATTGCAAACATATTCGGAGTGCTCGAAAACGTGACGTAGGACGTACGCAAAAGCTCATTTTATGCCTACATGCCCAGATATTTTTACATTTGCATAAACATGAAAAAAAAAAGCACAAAAACAAACGATGCTGTGCTAAGAGAAAAAAATTTTACATGGGTGATTGGTGTGTTTATAACATTCAAGAACGGTTCACCCAGTTTCAAAATCGCATATTCTTGACCAAATGAATGCGTTTTCATATATTCTACCTGGAAGCATGAAAACAATTCCAGGAATATTTGCTTTTAGCGGTAATATTCAGCGGATCCTCGGAACATTTTGTCGACCAGTTTTGCAATGAAATTATTTTATTGAAATTTACGCTTCAAAAAGTGTTGTCATAACAGGCCACTGCCAAACTGATTCATTCCTGAACACTGCGCTAAGAAAATCTTTGCTAAATAACTCGCAGTATTTTTCGAGGATTTGGGAATGACGCTCAAAGCTCAGAGTATCGCAGAGAATACTATCAGTATCACTGCAATTGTCGTAATCACATTTGTTGCTGCATATTATTATTTTTATGAGTTTATTGCCGAGGGTTACGTTTGTATGTGTTTGTGAGCACAGTTCGATTTTCAGGCCCACAACACCTACGAAGCTGAAGTTTTGACCTTGAGCCTTTGAACTATAGCCTAACTCCATTTTAAATTTGAAATAGGGGGCTGTGCACGAGCTTAAATTTAACAGGTCAGGCCAAAGCAATCAAAAATTTGCACACCATTATTTCGTACGATGGGCTTAATAAAAACTGTAAAATAAAGAAGTGTGTTTTAAAAACCTCAACAAGAATTTACAAGAAGCTATAGGGCAGCAAACGGGATTCTGGATTCAGGTTACCAATCCATTTTATGCGAAGAATCAAATCCTCGAAATGACGAATTGAGCACCTTGATTGCGCTTGAGGCATTAAATCAACAGCTTGTTTCTGAGATCAGTGACCAGAAACACACGCAACCCTCGGCAAAAAGTCAATTTCTTACTATTCAGCTGACAGAATGTATCTGTATCTCAACAAATCAAGTAAACTTTGGGCCGCTTTTTAGAAATTACAATACTTGTTAAACTGTGGACATTAAGTCTATGGTAAAAAAGACCGAAATAATTTGGTCTGGAAGGTTCACACAATTCCAGCTCATTGTTACAGGCACTGTTGAGTTCAGTTTCCTTCATAAGCACAAACATTCACATCTGTATACGTACACGAGTAAGCAGACACAAACAAACACACACACAAGACACAGCACACATACATAAACATATCTGCACAAAATCTTGCTACAATGCATTTTCATTTTCTGTAAAAAAACACACTTTATAAAGCGTAGAGCCAACTGGATGCAAAATCTTGCCCATTGAATTCTGCGAACTGTCAGGAAGTCGTACTTCCATTACGGGATTGCCACGCAACGTTCGAACAACAATGCCTTGGGCAGCGACCATTTCGCAGTTATATACGGTTCGACGACTGCCTTTCTTGTCTTTAATCACAAATTGAACAGGAGCAAAACCCGATGGCGAAGGCTTCACCCTGGAAAAGACACGGACTCGACTATTAATGTAACTCAAGAAGCAAGTTCCCTTCTTCTTTCGTGAAATGCTTGAATGAAAGTTGACAGCGCTTGGATTATTTTGGTACTGGGAAAAACCAGCTACTCTGCGTGTCTTTTGAAGTAGCGTGAAAGCAACAAACGCAGGGGTGAATCAAAAGGACTAATTTTCCTTGGAACGATAAAATGAGCATATTTTCAGAAAAACCTCAGGTTAGAACGCACCAGGCTTTTAGGTGTGATAATGCGTTTTTGCTGTGCAACGCTATAGCGCTGCTCCAGCCAGCAAAAACGCGTATCGTGGAGAAGTCGTCTGTATGTGTGTGTTCAGAAGCGAGTGAACTTTGTCACCCACTTTCATCTCTGCAACCAGGAAAGCTGGGAGGCTGAAATTTTGGGTCCCTACCCTGTGTGTCATCCACCCGTTTTAAAATTTTCGCTCATACGCGCCAAGACCCCGCGTACGGACCCTCGAAAAAAATATGCAGATTTTTTGAAGGGAAACGATTTCGCGAGCCAGGCAAGATACAAAGGTACGAAGCTGAAACCTTGCAGGGATATTCTCTGAGCAATTGCGAGAAAAAGATTTTAAATTCAGCTGTCGCGCGCGCGCTTGTGTAGCGCGCATGATCACGTCAAAGTTTGCAACTTCGTACTGTGCTAACTCGAAAACTTCCCGGAAAATAGCAGCTGAAATTTTGTCAACATATTTGTCACCCACATGGGAAGTTATATACCTAAATTGAGTCCCGATTTGCACTTGTGCCATGACTTAGGACGCTTCAAAGATATTTATAGCGAATTGGCTATTTCGCTTACCAGATAAGGTGCGAGGTTGAAACTTCGATGGCATATTCTACTATTAAGTGCGGTGTTAATTCTGCTTGAAAGCGAAATCCCCTGCAGGCTGTTACGAAAAATACTCAGCTTTACTGAAAAATCAGAAAGGAGTGCGTTTTGCGGCGAACGACCGCCCTCATCCAAATATGTAAATGAACATCCAGTTCATTTGCATACTTGGATTTTTTGACGAATGGCCGCTCCAGCAACATTTTCACTTTTTAGTGAAAAAATTTGCATTCTTTCAAAAAGCGAGCATTTGCCGAAAAAACGACTGGGCTTCACGCAAGAAACTCGTAATCATGTATCCTGGAGGTTCATGTGGCTCTATAACGCACCATCTTCATCCCAACCGGCGCCCTTTCTCTTGTATGCCGGAGGAAGCCCGAGCGCGAAAAAGTATGAGCCCAAGTGTTAGGCCGAAGCGCAGGGAACATTCCTGCTATTAGCAATTTGCGAGTTTAGTGCAAATACGCATGATCGCACCGGCAAGCCTGGTGCGTCCCAACCTGGGTTGCACTAGACTTGTGCAAATATTTAGTGACTGTATATAAAAACGTTATTACATATTCGTCTCTTTTATCCCGTTTTAATCGTATCTTTGAATGCACCTGCATTCGCAGATGTTGCACCTTTGTTATTTTGGCTTTTCAATCCTTTTTTTAACCCCCCTAAAAAACCCTCTTTCCATTTTCTCTTTTCCCATATCCCTCTTTCCATTTTCTTTTCCCATAACTTTGGGAATATGTGCCCATACCATGCGCAACCCTCCCTTCTTAATTTCATCCCCCTTGAACGCCTGGGTGCTACGTACGGAAGACTTAAAAAATATGCAAATTTTTTGGCGGGAAAGCGATCTTGGGAACCACATGGGCTAAAGGACTGAGACTTTGTAGGGATATTCCCTGTGCATGTACTAGCTAAAGATTTCAAATTCAATCCTCAGGTATGCGTGGTACTCACGTAGGGGCGTGTGGAAGTTTTAGGGGGAAATTGCTAACTCGGGTACCAGGAAAACTAGAAGGCTGAAATTTTGGGAGAATGTTCCTTATCCAAGTACACAACAAATATTTCAAATTCAGCCCCAAGCTATGCATGGTACTCACGTAAGGGCGTATGAAAGTTTCTGCAGGAAAATTATTAACTCGGCAATCAGAACTGGAAGGCTGAAATTTTAGGCGGATGTTCCCTGCTCACGTGCAATTTAAAAATTTCAAATTCAGCTTTCCAAGCATGTGGAGCATTCAAGTACGGGTATGTGAAGGCTTTAGCGGGAAAACTGCTAACTTGGTAACCAGAAAAGCTGGAAAGCTGAAATTTTGAGGGAGTGTTCCCTGTCCAAGTACAAATAAGGTGTTTCAAATTCAGCCTTGAAGTATGCGTGGTTCTTACGCGCGGGCACTAAAAGTCTTGACGAGAAAATTTCTCACAGAACAACTAGGTTACTTTTAAATAACGACTGCTAAATGGAAATTGTACATTTATTTTGCAAAATTTATGGTAATTTATGATAGTGACCGCAACAGGTAAGTGTAAAGCAACAGCCATTCGTACAGTTAACACCTGAGTAATTCAAATCCGGTTCAAAAACGCATGATCGCACGGGCCCACCCGGTGGGTTCCATCCTGCTTTACACTCTCGTACATTTTCAGCCCCTCCAAAAAACTATCACACCCTCTTTTGGGGCAGTTCTTACTCCCTTTACAATGCTCCCTACCATTCTTCTGGGCTCAGCTTCTTCGTCGCTTCACTCTCCTCGACCAACGTTATCCTCAGCTCGCCAGCTACGACTCCCGTCGTCGCAATCTTCGGACACTACTGAGACGCAATCTTCGGACACTACTGGGACGCAGTCTTCGGACACTACTTTTGGCAGGAAAATTGCCAACTCGGTAACGAGAAAATCTAGAAAGCCGAGACTTTAGGGGGCTGTTGTCTATTCATGTACGACCAAAAGTTTTCAAATTCAGCTCCCTAGAACTGTCCGGGGCTCAAGCACGAACGCGTGAAGATTTTCGCGGAAAAACTGCTAACTCGGGAACGCGAAAAGCTGAAAGGATTTAATTTTAAGGGGATGTTCCCTACTCATGTGCGACTAAAAGATTTCAAATTTAACTTTTCCAACAGGGCCTTTTTCACGGACCAACAACTTTCCGTTTGTCGGATCATTGAAGTCGGCATTTACAACTGGCATGCCACATAGCTGCACAATTAATGTCCCGAACTTCGAGGGCCAGTATGTTACAGGTCTAGCTACTAAGATTTCTTGCGATTTTTCGACAGTACGAAAAGTGTAAAAACGCATGATCGCACCGGCCCGCTTGGTGCGCTCCAGCCTGGGTCTGTTTAGTTGTTCACTACTCATCGCAAAACTCACTCAGTGGGTGGAAGAATTTTGATGGCGAAACGGTTGCTTGTTGTCAGCAGATCACAGTCAGGCAGTGTGTCAAATGCTTCACCTTCGGAAGCAGCTTGAATTGTCTTCGCCACACCACGGCGTACTTTATCCACAACCGAGGACATCTGAAACGACAGAAAAATGACAAATTTATCGAGAACATCACTAGTGTAATTATATTAAGGTAAAGAAGAAGGTGTACATCTTAGTGGTATTGAAAAGCACTTGCAATCGGTGCAGGAAAAATTTAATTATTGAATAGAGCGGATAGGTGCTGAATTTCACCTCAAGCAAAACTAAGGTTTCGCCTGAATGGGAGGAATTAAATTATGCTGCAATTCAGAAAAACCAAATCCGGCAATTAAACTCACTGGTAGCAGAGCAAGAAGGGAGGAAGTGAAAATCAATTTTATCGCGTGCTACGCTTCGTTGCACCTGTGCTTCGAAGGTCACAAATAAATAACGTAAAACGTCAAAAGAACAAAACTTCAAACGTATTTCTCTCAAAAATCCAATTATACACCACTGTGAGTGCAATCCAAACTCAGGGCATAGTGAGCTACATGCTGAATTCAGGTTTTAAGTTATATAAAAATGCATCAAAATGTGCTACCTGCCATTTAAAGCTTCTTCCTTTCTCCGAATGTGTGCCCATTGGTGTAGAGGAGCTTTAGCAAAGCATTCAGCGCTTTTTATCAGAATAAAAGCAATAAGACCTACAAAATAGCACCATTTCCAAATTTGCATCATACATGCTTTTCAATTGGACAAGCGAAAAAGCACTTGTTTGAGGAATTTTATTTTGTGTTGTATTCGCTGCGCTCTAGACAGAGTTTTTTTTTTTGCTAAAAAGCACTTTCGAAAATTTTGACACATAAGAAAAAATTCAGACGACTGCGAAGGAAAATGTCCGCATGTAATTTATTCACCCCTTAATAATTTCAAACCTAGGTTGAAACGTGCGTTCATTTTTGCACCAGACTTGAAATACTCAAGTCATTAACTGTATGAATGGTTGTTGCTTTACGCCCACCTTTTGCGCTCACTAGCGTAAATCAACATAAATTCTGCATAAAGTAAATGAACAATTTTCATTTAACAGTCGCTCTTTGAAAGTAACCTAGTTGTTCACTGAGCGATTTTTCTGTCAAAATTTTTAAGTGCCCATACTTAAGAACCACGCATATCTGAAGGCTGAATTTGAAACATTTAAGTTGTACTTGGACAGGAAACATTCCCCCAAAATTTTAGCTTGCTAGCTTTTCTGGTCCCCAAGTCAGTAATTTTTCCGTCAAAACTTTCATATGCCCTTATGAATTTGGAACCTTCAGCTCATATAGGGAATATCCTTGTAAAGTTTCAGCCCTTTATCTTGCCTGGTTCCCGAGATCGCTTTTCTGCCGAAAAAATTGCATATTTTTTTGAGATGTCCGTACGTGACACCAGGCATAGGCGGAAGATAATATTAAAACGGGAGGGTCGCGTATGGTATGGGCACTTACTCCCAAAGTTTCAGCCTTCCAGCTTTACTAGTTCTCGAATTGAAAGCAGGTGACAAAAAGTGCGAACACATAGACACACAGCCTCTTGCCAATATGCGTTTTTATGCGTTTTTGCATAAATGTAAATTTCAAAAACGCATATTGGGAAGAGGCTGTGTGTGTGTGTGTGTGTGTGTGTGTGTGTCTGTTTCTGTGTGCTCGCACATTTTGTCACCCACTTTCAACTCGAGACCCAGAAAAGCTAGAAGGCTGAAACTTGGGGGATATGTGCCTATACCATGCTCGATCCTCCCGTTTTAATTTCATCCCCCGCGGACGACTGGGTGCCGCGTACGGACGCTTTAAAAAAATATGCAAATTTTTTGGCGGGAAAGCTATCTCGGGAACCACACGAGCTAAGGAGCTGAAACTTTGTCAGGATATTCCCTGTTCACGCACTAGCTAAAGATTTCAAACTCGGCTCCAGGTATGCGTGGTGCTCATGTAAGAGCGTATGAAAGTTTTAGGGGGAAAATTCCTAACTCGGGTACCTGGAAAGCTAGAAAGCTAAAACTTTGGGGGAATGTTCCCTATCCAAGCTCTACTCAAATATTTCAAATTCAGCCCCCCTGGTATGCATGGTACTCACGTAAGAGCGTATGAAAGTTTTAGGGGGAAAATTGCAAACCTGGAC